AGTCCTGTATGCTCACAAAAGGTTACCCTAATACATACAGTGTGCGCTTCAACTCGTAGGCAGCAGCATCCAGTCCATAGAGCGCGTTTCTTGAGTGTTGTAGATTTATTTTTCTGCTTAATTTTCTTTAAAAAATATTACCATGAAGTGCATTGTGGCTCCCAAACACAGCAAAAGCAGTGCTAGTGAGAGCAGCAGTAAGAGGCAAAGAGAGCATCCATTTGGAGATGAAACAAAAGGTTATTAAACAACACAAATGTAGAAAATCAGTGAGTATTATTGCTCATGATTTAGGCATGTCTGTTGGCTAAGTATATAATAGGTGTTCACACAATGTCCAAATCACATAAAGTCCTATTTCACATTAATATATTACAGACATTAAGTGACACATACCTGTAATGAAATTTCTAGGCAATGTTGAGAGTCCATGTAAAGTTAATAAGTGTTAATTTAGTGATGCCAATCTGTTCAGTAGGACAATTTTCTATGACAAGGTACAGGCATAGAGAAGCCTACAGGTGCACCTAGATGGGAGGCTTAGTTGGGGGAAATGTGAGAGAAAAAGGTGAACCTAAGATGGATAGGGAGGGAAGTGAAGAGTGGGAGGAAGTGAAGAGTGGAGGAGGTCAATGGACAAGAGGTAAAATAAAGCTTTTAAAAGATTGGCGGTTCTGATAAGGTGAAAGAACACTTATGGTGACTTTCTTGCTGAAAAGACAGCTATCTGTGGTTGGACAGAGGAATGGCTGAATTACTGATTACAGGCAGTCTCTGGGTTACAAACAAGAGCCTTTCCTAAATCTGTCTTAAATCACACTTGTAGGTAAGTCAGATGTAATACATTATATACAGTTCTTATTTCGCATCACTTAGTCAAATGTTTGTCTTGGTTTATAGTTTATAAACCTTTCTATGCATACTTAAGAAACACTTCCAAATACACAAAAGCATCTTGAATGTATAACATAATAATAATAATGACAGTAATAATGAAAGTAACTGCATACGGTATTAAAGAGAGAAAATCTGTATGTGTTTTTGTAGGTATACAAAACTACTTAAATTACTTAAAGTACTGCACACAAATTAAAGAAATAGTTTAAAAAAAAAAGATCCCAATTAAAGGTTAACACTTACTCTCATTTCCAGTGATGTCTTGCATACCAGAAGGGGCATTGGGGAGGTAATATTGTAACATTAATAACTGGATGACACAGGTAAGGATGATGGAGTGATGGCTATTATTGATGATGATGGCCCTGGGGCTGGAGAATCTGGGTTTGATTCTGCTGCTGGAAAGCGCGTGTTTATGACTGGAGTCAATTTTTTCAAGTAGGCATCCAGGGAAGTTTGCACATTGCTTTTCTTTTTCTCGTCATAAATGGCCTTGTAGCAGCTGAGACCCTCAGTAACTGTACGATAAACTTTGGTGAACCTCTCTGTATTAGGATCCTGCTCCTCTAATTTTGCCATCCCTGCTTCAATGAGACAAAAGGCTTCAGCTAAGTCTTTTGTAAAAAACTTTTTCGGTTCGTGAGTTTTTAGGTCCCGGTCCTCTTCCTCAAATGCTATCATCTCCTGCTCTACTTCCATTAGGTCTTCGTGGGTTAGTTCTTCAGCATGGGAATCAAGTAACTCTACAACATCATTTTCACTGATGTCTAACTGCAGTTGACTACCAATATCAACCACAGCTTGCCTGGCTTCAGCGATATCATCAGCTGTAAACTCCTGAAAAGCATGTGCAAACTGGGGGCACAATTTGTTCCATACTCCTTTCATATTTGACTCCTTCACTTCTTCCCAAGAATAAGCAATATTTTTAATGGCATCATAGATGTTATAATTCCTCCAGAACTCCCTTAAGCTTATCACATCATCTTGGGTAGCCTTCACTGCTTGTGAGAAGGTCCGCCGTAAATAATAGGCCTTAAAGGAAGCTATGACTCCCTGACCCATTGGCTGAAGTAGTGATGTGGTATTGGGGGGTAAAAATACTACCTTTACATTGGGGTGAAGGTTGTCTAAAGTGCTTGGATGTCCAGGTGCACTGTCAAGCACAAGGAGAATCTTGAAAGGAATTTTCTTGGCCAAGCAATAATGTTCAACAGCAGGGACAAAATGATTCAAGAACCAATCTTCAAAGACGGCGACTGTAACCCAAGCCTTTGCATTTGCCTTCCAAATAACAGGAAGACATGCCTTAATGATTCGGCGAAGTGCCCTTGGATTTAGGGAGCGATACACAACTAAAGGCTTGAGCTTGAAATCCCCAGATGCATTACCCCCAAGCAATAGCGTTAGCCTATTTTTTGAGGCCTTATGCCCTGGTGCATTCATTTCCTCTTTTGATATGTAGGTCCTTTCGGGCAATTTTTTCCAACATAAGCCAGTCTCATCTACATTAAATATTTGGTCTGGCAGATAATCTCCCTCCTCAATAATTTTTTTCAACATTTCGGGAAAATCACTCACAGCACTTACATTGGCACCCATGGCTTCACCTTGCACTTTAAAATTATGTAAATTTGCCCTCACTTTGAATCGATTGAACCAACCCCTACTTGCAACAAATTCTTCATCACAATCACCTTCACTCACTGCGCGTGTAGCTTTTAAAGCACTGAAAAGGCTTCTGGCTTTTTCTTGCACTAAACTAAGGCTAACAGGCATATTACGCTGATTTTGATCATCTAACCAAATTATTAATAACCTTTCCATTTCAATAATTAAGCCACTGCGTTGCTTAGTAATAATGGTAGCTTTCATTGGGAAAGAGCTTCTCACATGTTCCATTATTCTCACTTTATCCTTTAAAATTGTTCCAACTGTTGACCGGCTATAGCCTAACTCTTTTCCAATGACCGAAGGCGTTTCTCCTCTCTCTGACCGCTTTATTATTTCCACTTTATTTTCAATTGTGATCGTTTTCCTTTTCTTTGATACATTACCAGAACTTGCATTGGATTTACGCTTTGGAGGCATGGTTACAAGGGTAAGTAAGAGGAAAAGTTAAACCAAATACAAAGTTATATACTCAATTCAGTGCTAACAAAACATGATCCAACTTTAAAAGGCAGACAGTTCTTCCTCAAGTCCATGAACCGATGAAAGTGGGCAATGTTTTCATGAGTGTCACAAAGTAGTGCCTGAGTCGCTATGAACCACAGTATTTATCTCAAAATATTAATCAATAGGCTTTACGTAAGTTCATTCTCAAGTACAAGGTAGTCATTCTTAACCCAGGGACTTACTATATAGATGACAAGGTCCAAGTTTTGGCTGTGGGATTAGGATGCTGATGTAAGGATTTCTAGAGATGAGGCCCCAGTGTTGGAAGTGTTGTCCACATTGATTCTGAAATCAAGGAAGATGGTCAGAGAGAGGAAAAAGTTACAACAGACTGAATGAACAAAGCTAATGATCTCTACAGAGATGGTCAAAAAGGTGACAAAGTCTAAGAGTAAGTTCTGGAAACCTTAGGTTTTTATGAGCTGGTGACAGGATTTTTAGTACATAGGTTTCACCTTTGTAAACTGAGAAAAACCCCACTACCATTGGGTCGAACAAATTCGATGGCACTTAACAACCATGGGTTTGGACTCATAGGGACTTTGTGTAGTGTTTAAGAAGCTGTAAATCTTTACCAGAGCAGAAAGCCTTTTTCCTGCGGAGCCTCTGATGAGTTTGAACTGCTGACCTTATGGTTAGCAGTTCAGTGATTATCCTATGATGCCACCAGGACTGCTCTGGAATCTGAGAAGTTAAGTAAAAATACAAGTAGTGTCCGACTTAGGGAGTCTTGGTGTGGCACTGTTGGTAAATGCGCTGGACTGCAAAGTCTGTTTGAATCGCCAAGGACGGTGGTTCAAGCTCACCAGCTGCTCCTCAGAAACCCTATACAGGATCGCTATAGGTTGGAACGGACTCCACGGCACTTAACAACATCTGACTTAGAAGCGCAGTGACCATTGGTCCATGGCTCGAGTCCTCCAAACGCTCAGTGAGAGAAAGATGAGGTTTTATGCTCCCTCTAAGATTTAAAGTCTAAGAAACCGTTAACAACATCCGACTTAGGACAAATTTAAGTTAGGGCAAATCGCACTTATAACTGTCCCTTTTCTTGTACATGTTATTATGAAGAATATGTGCTACATACAATGCTGCAGAACGTAATTTGCTGATGTTATCACTCTCAGATGTTCACTCTGATAAAAATCAGGTTTATAAGGATACTGATCATAATTTTTTTTTTTTTTTAAGAGAGAGGTATTTGACTTAAGTAAAAACCAGGGTCACAGAAAAAGAGGGAGACCCCCAGCGAGATGGACTGGCAAAGAGGCAGCATCAATGGGCTCAATCAAGCGTGGCAATAATTGTGAGGTTGGCCCAGGATCAGTCAGTGTTTCGTTCTGTTATACACAGTGTTGCTATGAGTCGGTACAGTCTCGATGGCACCTAACAACAAGAACCAGCTTACAAAGGAGTCTAACGTCGCGGTAAGTCGGTGTACACGTGAAGGGGCTACAGAGGATACAGTACCCTCAATAGACAGGTCTCTCTGTTCAAAAAATGGACTTCAGAGAAAAGTTTATCTAGAAACCAGAAACTCGGAATTTCGAACGTGAGAGGTGACAAGGGGCCCGAAGCAGTGGATGCTCTAGACACCCCTTTGTCTTTTACTTACCTGCGCCACACCAATTGCCGCAGCAGAAATCGCTCAGAAAAGACAAGTAGCAAGCCCAGCTCTTTTCAACTCCCCGCGGAAGCGCTCACATCGGAAACCTTCAGTGTCCACGCTTTTCCATTGGGTGAAGTGTCCGTCCACTTCAATCTGCTTCCGCCCACTTCAATCTGCTTCCGCCCAAAACTTGGTCGGGTGGGGCACTCCCTACGAGTCACTTCCGCCCTGCCCCGCCCCTTCGCTTACTTAGGACCCGCTTCCGGCCGCGGGCCCCGCCCCATATCGTGTAGCCCCGCCCCTACCCGCCCCGGGTCTGCCGGCCCAGCCCCGCAGCGCCGCTTCCGGTGCGGGCCCCGCCCCGGCTGTGGCCCCCGGCTACCGAGGAGGCTGAGAAGCTGCTGCGGCGCCGGGGCCTCAGCGCTCGGTTCTTTACCGCGGAGTGAACCGGAGTGCTCCGCACAGGTAAGCTGCACGGGTCCGGGTTCCCTCATCCGTGGCGGGAGCAGCAGCTGTGGCAGGTGGAGGGGACCGAGAGGTGGAAGGGGAGGCAGGTGTGTTGGGGAAGGAGAGGCGCGGACGGCGGACCGCGGGGGCCGCGGCAGAGAAGTGTGAGCTCTGGAAGCAGCCCCGAGAGGCTAATGCCCTTTAGGCTGTTTGGAAATAAAGGGATGCAAAGGGTAAAGGGCCCCGGGAACTGAGTGGGCAAAGCTAGTTGGGGTCTGGACGATCGGCGAAATGGCCAGCGGATTGGCTGGCAGAGCTTGGTAGAGGTAAAAGTGGTAGTACTGAATTTGGGGTGTAAAGAATGGGAGAGGGAGGCTGGGGTGGCCAGGGCCATGGAGATCCGACTGTGAAGGTGGAGGGAGTGGTCGGCAAAGCCGGGTCTCAAGCTGCAAGCAGTCCGTTGCTCCGAGCTTGGTGGTCCGGGAACTTTAGGGGAAATGGGGGAGGGGGGCCGTGTGAAGGGATGAAGTGGTTTAGAGATTTCTGAGACAAGTTCTCTAAATTTAGGCAAGTGGTATTTTTTGGATCGACGGACTGCTTAGGGACTGGGGGGAAGATGGGCTCTTTGGGGGAGGGTGTGTGTATTGAATTGTAGCATTGAGTCATCTCAGTCTTACTAAAGAGGCTGAAGACTTAACCTCCCCCTCTGTTGGGGACAACATACAGAGAAGATGGTGCCACGAGACAAGAAGCAGTTGTTAAGTGACTGGAAGGACGTGGTTGAAAAATTATTCCGCTTGTGATTGACTGTAATGATTATAAAGGAACTTTAAATGGCCAACGAATTATTTGCTTTATTCTTTGTTTGATTTCCTTTGTCCCAGCTTGCTTTCATTTTAAACGAATACTTTTGTCAACTGAATTTATGTGGCTGGAAATCTTTTCATGCTTTGTTACATTGTAAGAAGAGCTGAAAGCACAGTGAAAGTATTGCCCAGGCATACCTCACTTTCTAAAGTGCCAAGAGAGGAAGTAAAGGCTGTAAGAGGCAAATTGGAATTTGAATTGCTCACAGAATACAAAAGGCAAAGGCAGTGCTTCTAAAATAAACAGAAAATGTAGTTGTTGTTAGGTGCCGTCCTGTTGGTTCCGACCGACTCCTAATGACCCTGTGTAGGGTTCTTTATCTATTTTATAACATTTTTTGTCCAGCTTCAAAAAGTGTACCTAAAGATATTCATAAATCCAAGCAATTTTTGCAGCTAGGGATGGGATTACATTCCCATGAAATTTTGAAGATGCTAAAGACATTTAGGGTTTGTGTGTGTGTGTGGTTTGTTTTTATTTTGTTTGGTTTCCCTTCCCAATCTTAAAAACATTGGAACAGTGAAAAGATTAAGTCCCAGCCTCTGCAGTGCAGCTTCTTCTTTTATATGATGGCAAAATTATATGTCATGTTGTAAACCCAGTTCACCTAAAATTTGCCAATGCAGAGGAAATCAGTTCTGCAGCTCTCAGCATGCTGAGGAAACACAACAAATGTGAGGTTTGTTGGGGGTAGGGCCTGGAGAGAAGGAAGAGAAGGGGACTAGAGGAGGAGAAGGTGTGAACGGGGTGTGTGTGTTTGGAGACTGATTGGTAAGAATGCTGATAAACCTGCCCCCAGAATACTTGTAGCCGGAAAGCCCTTTCTTTTCGTATTGGTTATAGAAGAATATCATAGTAGAAGTTAATCAGAAAGAAAGGGGATGTAAAGAGATTTGCTTGGCTGCTTATAAGAAGGAGAAGCATTAACTTGTTTAGATCATTATTGGTATCTGTTTCAAATTAATTAACTTTAAAATCTCCAGAGGAATTCCCCCCCATTTGCTTTTACGTGACAATTGCAATTTGAGACTGTTGCCTCCTTGTGTGTCTGTATTCCATGTTGTTGGAATTAGAGTCTTTCTGAGGTTGCGATGTCCAGTTAGCATGGCTCAGCCAGCAGACTGGCAATTTGATCTGGAAAATTTTTTTTTTAATGTTTTTATTGATCTGGAAATTTTGGAGTTTAAACCCAAGAGCAGTTTCCTTGGTCCTGCTTTTCTGTGAGGAAAGTCATACTGTCTGCCACTAGTTGTGTGTCTGGCTCACATAGTTATGTCGTTCTGGAATGAGGTCGGGCACATAGGCAGCATCCTCTTTTATATGCAGACCCTTCCTTTCATTTATTATTGTGGTTTTCATAGTCACAACCTCTCTACAGTGCAAATCCAGCTGCCTTTTGAGTAGTAAACAGATTAATGTTTGTGAATGTTGATGGAAAGAGATCAGAACACAGACTCTAACAGACTAAGGTATCTTCTAGATTTACTTCTTTGTAAGCCTTCAGTAGGGTTATCACTGCTGAGTTTCAAAGGAACCCTGGTGGTATAGTGGTTAAGCACTCAGCTGCTAACCAAAAGGTTGGCGGGTTCAGACCCACCAGCTACTCCATAGGAGAATGATGTGGCTGTCTGCTTCTGTAAAGATTACTGCTTTGGAAACCCTGTGGGGCAGATCTACTCTGGCCTGTAGAGTCGCTTTGAGTCAGAACCTCCTGGATGGCACTGGGACTGAGCTTCATCTTGTATTCCCCTGTGATATCATAGCCTGCTTCTTCCTGGCTTTTCCTGCCTCCCCTCCCCCAAACACCGCCATCATTTAGTCATCTGAAAGCTCAGGCCTAGTGTTCATGTTCCTTTACTGGAGAAAAGAAAGCTTTTTTTGGTACCTGTTTCACAGTTTTTATTTTTTCCTCCTCTGTGGTTTCTGTTCATCACCAAAGGTTCAGATCCAGTGTGCCTGCTGGGCTGTGCCCAGGTTCATAGCCATGCCAAACAGTGGGTGAAACTTGAAGCAGCGATGGAACCACTGCACCACCAGCAGAAGCAGAAGCAGCTGCAGAAGCAATCCCACCTGGCTTCTTTGCAGATGGATGCTCGGGAGAAGCAGGGACAGCAGATGAGAGACACCCAATTCTTGTATGCTCAGAAGCTGATCACACAACAGACTCTCCTTTCTGCCACACCTGGAAGGCCTTCTGCCACCCCTACCCTGGGTCCTTTAGCAAAAGTCCCACCAACCACAGCAGCCCCCCGAGTTTTTGAACGAAGCAACGTAAACTCAGAGCCTGAGGAAGAGGAAGGCTTGGAAGATGAGGATGGGGATGAAGAAGAGGCAGAGGTAGCTGAGAAAGAGGCACAGACTGCTTCAAAATACTTCCCTGTGCAGAAAGCAGCTCACCAAGATCCCAGAGCAGCACCCCTGCCCACGAGTCTCCTTCCAGCACCAGGACCTCAGACTAAGGAAGACCATACCAAAGATGCTTCCACGACTCCACCTTCAGTCTCCACGTCTGGTCAGCCGAGCTGGAATCTGGAAGAGCAGCTCAAACAGGTCAGTTTTTCTGGTATGGGAGGTCATTTGTTCTTCCGAAAGGCTGGCCAGAGAAAGGTACTGGATTGCCAGGGGCAATGGCTGTGCCAGGCTCTGCCTTTTCCCCCACTTAGTGACCAATTGCCAAAACAGGAATAGATGTTGAGATTTTTCTTCTCACTTAATCTTTGTGTTTTCGAGTAGTTACAACTTTTTCTCTCTTTTTTTTTTTAAAGAATGAGATTGCAACAGTGGAATGAAGAAAGTCTATAAATCAACTGTGTGTCTGTAACTACAGTTTTCCTAACAGTCGTGTTTTTGGTTCCAGGCTAACCCAGTAGCCTGTTCTTTAGGACACTTTGTTGTTTTGCAGCCAAAATAGCTCATGAGAAGTACATGCACTGTGTATATTTCCAACTGAGAGACATTGCATTTCACTCTGGTAGCACCCTTTTTGAAATAAGGAAGAGTAGACCTCAAACCTCTTTCTTTAATTCAAGGGAAGCGTAAGTGATTTGTGAATGGGATGAGTCGTCAGGGATCTTTTTAAGAATGCAGATTCCTGGGTTCTAATGAATTACCTCAGAGAGTGAAACCTAGAGAATCTATGTTCTCATCCAAGGTTGTGTATTCCCGCCCCTTTGGTTAACCTGCAGCATTTTTTTGTCTCCTTTAGAAGGGGGATGATGATAACTGTTAGGGGACCTGTTGCAGCTCAAGCAAGGAGTACTCCCCATAACTACATTTTTCATATGACTCCATGATCATAGGAATAGCTGAGGAGGTAATGTAAGAAATATCCTTTGTTCCGTCGAGTCGGTTCCGACTTGTAGCAACCCTGTCTAGAGTTTCCAAGGAGCAGCTGGTGGGTTTGAACCGCCAACCTTGTGATTCAAATGAACCTTGCAGTCCAGTGCATTCTCCTGCAGCGCTCTACTAAGACTCCATGAATGGTCCTTTGTTGTTAAGTGCCATTGAGTCGGTGCCAACCCATAGTGACCCTTTGTAGTGTTTCCAAGGAGCAGCTGGTGAGCTTGAACCACTGACATTGCTGTTCAAACCAACTTTGCAGTCCAGTGCATTAACGCACAATGCCACACCAGCACTCTTTTGGCACCTAAAAAATCAGCATCTTTGGACCAAGGAGCCTGATACAGTTGATTTAAGTTTTGCAATAACATTAATTGCCGTAGATTCTAAAGCTAAAGAGGTGGTGTTCAAGTCCTGCCCCTGACCTCTTCCATTTACTATCCTTGTGATCTTTTCGTAGGATCTTAACTGACTTGAGTCTGGACCTTCTGTCTGTGAAATAAAACTAATGAAGTGTGCCTAGGATGGTGTGAGGATTAACTGAGCTAGCATATGTGAAAGTCTGTACAGAAACATGTACTTGGTAGGTGGTGGTGTAGTCAGTGTGTGTCATCGAGTCAATTCTGACTCAGAGCAACCCCTAGATGAGAGTAGACCTGTCCCATAGGGTTTCCTAGGCTGCGGTTGTAACACAGAACACATTGCCAGGCGTTTTATCCCATGATGATTCTGGGTTGGCTTCAAATCGCCATCCTTTCGGTTAGCAGCTGAGTGCTTAACTGTTAACGCCAGACCTGCCTCTGCGCAAGGAAAGCCTTCCCTGTGCTTACCTAGTAGTGCTACAGTTAGGATAAGAGTCAGAAAATCCCAGCTTCCATGACAGCACCACCCTGGCCACCAGCCCAGACCTGCCTCCTGGCTGATTACTTTGGTTAGCCAAACATCTGTGAGTTGCCGGCAGCCCCCCACCCCCACCCCCTGCATTGCTGTGTGGTTGGCAGAGTTCCATGCTGGCCGCTGAGTCAGCTCCTAGCAGCATCCCGCCCAGACAGCACTGGGAAAGTTCAGGCCCGAGGCGGCTGGGCTGCCCCCGCCTTGGCAGCTGGCCAGCCTCTGCATGTGTGCGGTCGGTTGTTCCTAGAAAGTACAGCTGCGTGCGAGGAACAAGTGGAGCTCCAGAGCAGCTCTGTCCTCAGGAAGTACAGCAAGTGTTAAGGTCAAACCATTAGGGCTTTGACAGAAGCGTCTCTCTAGAACTGGTGTGTGCGCGTGCACTGTGGCAGGACACCTGGTGCTGCGTTCTGGATGGTAGCGACCCCATGGCTGAACGGCGCATGCTCAGGGGCCTGACTGCCTGCTTTGAAACCCTTCGAGTTCATTTTGAGTTTCTGAGGTATACGTTCTAATTATAGACTGACTGTCAGAGCACCTGCCAAAATATTTTGTAAAAGCCAGCATAGGTGAGACCTAATCCCTCACCCTAATTTACTTTCTCCTTGGATTCGGAGATCAAGGACTGCTGGGTTAGAGGTCGCTTTGGAATAGTGTCATAAAACCTTAGAGGTGCACCTCCTTTTCCCGTTTTGAATTTAATTTTCGGAGTCAGTTTCATTGGGAGACAGGTATATTGAGATGACAACATTAAGAGATGCGCACCATGGACTGGTCGGCCATTTGAGATCAAAAGGGCAACATTTACCTAAGGCCAAAATTCAGAAGGGTGGGGAAAGAAGGAGGAATGGAAACAGGAAGCAGCTGGAGAAAGTGGGATGAGTGATGTTACACTGGGGAGACTGAAGTCAAGATGAAACAAAGTGTTGAATGTAATGGTTTCTTGAATGTAAGACTGATGATCTGCCCTGCAAACCTTCACTCAATTCACAATAAAAAGTTAAAAAAAAAAAAAAAATCCCGCATGGCCCTCAGTGCCCAGAATGGAATCTAGACAAAAGGAAAAAAAAAACCCAAATGGAATCTAGACAAAAGGAAAAAAAAAACCCAATCAGTTCTGTTGGTACTTTCCTCCCTGTATAAATCCTATTTCTAAAGGAGTAAATACTGCTCCTGGATTTCAGTACCGAAGATTAGCAAATAAAGGAGCAAATACTATGCTTGGGGATTTAAAAATTTTGGAGTTTTAGTTGTGTCTAGAATGAGGATAAAAATAAACACACATATATGGCCTAGAAGAGCCATCACATACCATGAAACTAGCTTTTTTTTTTTTGCTGTTGTTATTGTTCAAAGCGGCTTGTTTGTTTCTTGATGCAGTTAACCTCTGGGGAGTAGTAAGGGAGTGGTCGTGCTCCAGCAACAATTACAAAGATCTTTAAAAATTAAAACAAGTGTTCTTATTGACAATATGCTAACTGTCCATTTTGTTCTTTTTTTAAAAAAAAAAAGAATTTTACAGAGCCCTTCTTTGTGCAGGCCTGTACTCCAAGGACTGAGGCTTCCTCAAGGAATTCATAGTCTAGTGGGGGCAGTGTGGGAACCTCAAGGGGAATTGGGTCTTGGGTTGCAATAACTTGATTCTGTCCTCTGCCTGCTGAAGACCTCCCAGTCCCATCAGCGCTGTGGTGCAGAGGTTTTAAGATAGGATTTTGGTTCAGGAACAAACAAACCCACTACCATGAGTCGATTTTGGCTCTTAGCAACCCAACAGGGCAGACAGAGAACTGCCCCTAGTGTTTTCAAGCCTGTAAATATTGGCAGAATCAGATGGCCTCATCTTTTTCCTAAGGAGTGACTTGGTGGGCTCAAACCACCGATCTTTTGGTTAGCAGTCCAACACTTAAACCACTGTACCACACAGGGCCTCTAAGACACCATTCAAAAGTTCACTTTGTCTCTAGCATAACTTGGTAAACCAATAGACATTCTCAAACGTATTTTCAAGAACATGTATGTGTATATGTATGTGTGTGTGTGTAAAAAAGGCATCCACCAACCAAACAAAATGTTTGCTTCTGAAAATCCCTTTCTTAGAACACATAAAGAAAAATGATCTCATGATTCTCTTTGAAGAAACTGAGAAAATGTTTGCTTCTCAAATCGTGATTGTTAGAAAGAATGTAGTACTCTCTGACATCAGAGCGATAGGAAGATGGATAATACCATTGAGCCAAGCATGCTAAAGCCCATCAGATTTCAATGGGCAGAGTAAATAATTGTAAAACAAGACAACAGACAAAGAGCATCCCTCCTCTCCAGGGAGATGGGTTGAGCCCTGTCAGCACACAGCCAACCAGGGGGTGTTGCTTGGCCTGCTAGGGGTAGTTTTCTGTCCTCCTGGGAAAAGAGATGGTTCAAGCAATACAGGCTTTGTCTATCTTGAGCCCATTAGTGGAGCCACACTTCCAGAAGCACATAGACTTCCCCCCAAAGAGAAGAAAGGTAGGCATGTAGGGACAGACAGCGTGTCTGATTTTCTGCATCCTCTGGCAGTGTTTTTGGTTACTGAGTATGGGGGAAAAAAGTCCCTCTGCATAATCTGGGGTCTAGCCTCTTGGGGTAGGCCTAGTCTTCTTTAATACCTACTACTTATCTTGGGGACATTCAAGCTATTTGTAAAGCTTTCTCTGTAAGATTCTGTTACATGCCTTTGGTACCTGTAATGACAGTAGAGTGTAGGCATGCCTTGGTTTGTCCTGCTTCACTTTGTTGCACTTCACAGATACTGCATTAATATTTTTATCTTTGTACAGATTGAAAGTTGTAGTGAACCTGCATAGAGCCAGTCTGTCAGCACCATTTTTCCAAACAGTGGGTGCTCATTTCATGTCTTTGTATCACATTTTGGTAATTGTCAACAATATTTCAACCTTCTTCATGATGCTATTACGTACTTAATAAACTACAGTATAGTGCAAACATAACTTTTATATGTACCAGGAGCCCATAAATTCCTATGACTCAAATTATTGCAATATTTACTGTATTACAGTGGTGTGGAACTGTACTCGCCACATCTCCAAGGTATGCCTGTACCTCTAGATCAGTGATTTTCAACTGGGGGTGATTCCTGACCCCCATTGGTGACATTTGGCAACATCAGGAGATAGTTTCGTTGTCACAACTGTGGGCATGGGGGTGGGGTGGGGCAGATGTGTTATTAGCATGTAGTGGGCAAAATCCTGGGATGCTGCTGTACATCCTACATTGCATAAGATATTCTGCTCCCATCCCCAACAAAGAATTATCCAGTCCAA